CAGCTTCAGGGGGCTGAACTGCAGCTTCTGACACTTCAATGGTTTCATTTTTCAGAGAGAAATGTTTTCTGTTGCATTCCATTTATTTGAAACCTTTGCTCATTGTTTACCTACAAGCAGAAGAATTTACACAGGTTAAGACAAAAGCACACCAGAACCTCGATCAGTGCCTTGAACTTCTTACAAACACCACTGTGCTGTCACATTTCAGACATGTGTCCAAAAATCCAAAATTGTTCATGCAAAGCAAATCTAGCAAAGTCCACAAATTGGAAATGAGCTGGATATGAGAACAATAGGGTCCCTTTATATAAAACCAGAAGGTTGTTCAGCTGTGACATAATGCTGCATTCTGCAAACACAACACTAGATGGCGTCTGTTTAAGACTGACTTCTATACATATGAAATTGAATCAGTGTGCTTTGGCTGTTTCTCAAACACAGACAAACATGGATTTTATAGCATTCCTGTGCAAACGTCTTGAGCTACTCCTTCGTTATTTAGATTTTGCATCTAAGGAGACAGAATTGTAACTTTTTAAAATTCATCTTGAACAATGTTGGTTTTCACTACAAGCTGCAAAAACATTGCCGCCAACATCCAAAGAAAAACTTGGAGGCTTTTAAAAGTCACATGAAACTTGCCTGTGATTACCAAATGTGGACTTCTAAGCTCAATAGAACTGTACAAATATTCTGTGTTTACATGTGTGTAATGTGCTGTGCCCATTTCCCATTGACGATATAAAGATATGAAGCATTTGCCTAAGACCTCTGCACTTTACTGTAGGTAACAGACTACTAGAATTACGCTAGTCTCTATGCAAGAAATGATTTGTCTTTGAGTTCTGTTTATTGCTGCACACTAAACTAATTTCTAATAAATCAAATGAACATAATGAAAATAACAGGAAGTCAGGAGCAGTTACAAAAATAAAACTCAGGTCATAATAATCCAGAAGAGTTTTTAACTTGCTCAGTTTTTATATTTGCTTTTAAAAACACTTGGTTTGGGTAAGTTAGATAGGTTATCTTGGTAAGTTAGATAGGTTAGACCTCAAAGGCTTCATAATAGACAGAATCTGTGGTAATCAAGTTACACAAAAAGGCCAATAGGCACTTGCCCCTGAGGGGAAAAATGAAATGTAAAAGGTAAAAATACTCATTTCATATTTAAAAAAATGCTCTTCAGACATTGGGTATGAAGAGGGAGCTTCTGTACGAGTCCTTGTCCTCCTCCTCACCACGTTCTTTGTGATCCTCGAGAAGTTTGTCCAGTAGGTTTGGCGATTCCGCCTCAACCTCCGGGTCTTCGTTCAGAGACTGACCTTCAGCTTGCTGCTCTGAATGCTCGGGGATCTCCAGGATCTCGGGCTGAGGGTCCATACCCTGGGGCTCCAGCTGGGGGATCATGGTGGTCAACGACATGGACAGCGGCATGTGTACCAGAGGCGACCCGGGCAGCGCTGCAGAGCCCGGGGCAAACTGCACCCCGTGATTAGGCATGGTCGATATAGCGGTGAGTGGCTGGGCCCAAGGAAGATAGGCCAACCCTGAGTCTTGGAGCTCCACTTGAGGCAGGGAGGCTGGAGCTGGTGCCACTGGTATGGTCTGAAACAACAGCAATGACTTAAATATTTATGATGGCAAAGACATTTAACCTTGCAAAAAGACAAACGCATGCATGAAACGGACATGTGCTGATGCCACGAGCCTCACTTTAGGCGCTCAATCATTTATTTTTTATGTTTTACTCAAGATTTTGTGGAGGGTTTGGAAGGTAGACGCAGCATTTATTGTTCAGCTCACAGGAATATTGTAATCAGATATAATTAGGTACACAAGAAAAGAGTGAACCCTGACACAGGGAACAGCTTGTGCTGATTGAGACTGAATCTTTCTACATGTTTGGTGTTAATTAGCCTCATGGTCATGTCCCAGTGTTTTGATGTCAGATGTCACCGGAACAATCCTGTAATGTTCTTCCTTCCTGGACTCTCGCTCTGTGTTGTGATGCGTTTCCATTTATTTATTTTTTCAGAGACAAACATATTTTTCCACTTTGCACATTAACTCATCGTCATGTTGAGTGACATGTATGTAAATCCCTATACTGAGTCAGTGACAGTTATTCTCTGCATAAATTCAAACGCTGCAGTGAAAAAAGAGCTGCAAATATAAAGGAGAAATCCTTCATGCTGAACAGGCAGAAATCGAAATCCCACGTTAATCCCGTGGTGTACAAAGGTCCTCGGCGGGTTTGAGGAGTTCCAGTTAATACCCTACCCCAGTCTTATCTCTATATTTATTACCCACCACAGCAGGTTTGAAATGTAAGAATTTAAAGACAAGCACAGCAGCTGTTGGCAGTTAACACAGAGAGCATGCATGCAGTGATAACAGGCTTTTATGGTGGAAATGCATCACAAACACTTGTCTGCACCTGTAGAGAAAGATGAGCCCTGTACGAGCCACCTTTGATTAAAGACGCTGAGCACTAGCAGCACAATAAGATTCACTAAAGACAAAACAAACGATAACAGGATCCTGTGGCACTGTTAAACACGTTGCGTTATTCTGACATAAATGAGTTTTAAAGAAAACTTTAGATTGTTCCCGTCCCAGCCGTGACTCTGTGGGATACAGCACCATTGGGTCTCAAAGGAAGCAGCCCCTTAATGCCTAGAGTTTCAGATTTGGTACATATACATATTTATACTTGCACATACTTATACACAACCTTACTTTAAAGTGAAATAATAGCCTGAATCCATGGCTGTTAAATCCCATTTGACTGATAGAGCGAGAACTGATTGTTTTTATCCTCTTGTGCTGATTCGTGATCGTTTTCTTCCCCCGTGCAGTCTGCAGAACACATTTGCATTTCCTTTTTCACTCACCCCAAAGTTTGTCAGCAGTGGTGTGTGTGTGTAGGTCAGCATGGTGTAGCTGGGACACAGAGTTTGCATAGTAAGTGTCGGAGTGGCCGGGTAGGTCAGAGTCTGAGCTGAGGGGTCCTGCTGGTTGTAGTCAGGCGTCGACCAGGACATGGCGGCGGCCTGCAGCCCAGGACTGGTGACAGAAGGCGTCGCTTTCCACCCCGCACACTGCAGCCCTCCGTCAGCAGCTGCGGTCGGCACCTCGGCCGGGGATCCGCTGGCAACATCACAGCCAAAGATACCTGGAGAACAAGAAGCAGTTTGGGCATTAGACACGTGGAAACAGCTTCACGTGGGACATGTAGTTCACCGGTGAGGCTTCTACCTTGTGTAAATGACGGCTGGTTGTTGTGTGAGGCCACGTCCTGAAAAACACAGATATCATCAATGAGGTTAACATGTCAATAACTGCATCACATCAACACGGTGATGTTGATGTGTAAACATGCAGCAGTCACACCTGTGACTCTCAGGTGTGAGCAGCTATCTGAGAATTCACTCTTGAAAAGGGTTTAACTTGTTTTTCTGGATCCGTTCATTCAAGCTAAAGCTGTGAATTTGATACCACTGAACATGGAAGCGCAGTCCAGTTCAGCTTTATTTATATAGTGCCACATGCCTCGACCTACAGTAATACAGAGAATATCCCAGTGATCAGACGACCACCTGTGAACACGCACTTGGTGACAGCGGGAAGGAAAAACTCCCTTTTAACAGGAAGAAACCTCCATGATAGTATTAAAACACACTGTTCATCTAAACCAGCCAGGCTCTATAAATGCTGTTGATGGGTCCGTGAAAAACACAGAGCACGCTGCATTTGTTATTGTGCAGTGACACATCTTGACTGGTCTGACTGGGAAATGTTCTTTCATTCACGGTACAGTTTCTTTTCTTTTAACAAAGCTGAGGTGGGACAGTCATCAGGGTCTCCGTTTACCAACGCTGACATCCTGGATATATCATACTGGATATATCATACTGGATATTTCTCCTCAATAAATAACTTATCATGTGAGGTTTTTCCAGTCTTGTATCATCTGGGGGTTGAATGCGAGTTCATTACTAACCTTATTTATTAAAGTGGCAAACAAATAAAACCCTTACTGGACGACCACAAAGCCGACATGTATGACATGTTTTTAATGTTAACTGAGCAAATTCCAGTTTGTTCTGCCAACAGCTGCTTCTGCTGTAAATGACATTTAGGTCTGTGTGGGAGCAGATCTAGGATCTGTGTTCAGGCAGGTCCTGGCCTGAAGTGAGCTGTAAA